ACCCACCTCACAGGGTTGTTGTTGTGGGGAAAATAGGAGGAGGAAGGAGCATTAGGTATGTCCGCCGCCTTGACTGATCTATAAAAATAATAAAGGCAGGATAAAACATCTAAAAAAAAAGTTATATCTGGAAGAGGGATGCTTGTTTGGGGAGATCCTAGAAAAAGGCAAGCAAGCCACCTATTACCACCTATTAAAAACTTCACTTCCTAAATAAAGGTGAGAAGGATCCATCTGTAACAGGCATCTGAGCTAGACTGGGCCAATTCTTCTTTTCTCCAGTCTAGCATATTTCATGTTCCAGCTCAGGACTTGTCTATAGGCTCGGTCTTCTCTAGGTTGAGCAGTTAAAAACAGAATGGACAATTGCTAATATATCTGCGTGCATTTCATCTTTCTTTTTCTTTCTAGGCTTGACTGACACTTCATGAAAGTGGCATTAAAGATGGTTTCGTTCCAGTGTGGCCTTTCACCATCTTCTTGTGATACAGAACCCACACAAGACTGGTGGTAACAGTTAAGAGGAGGATGCCTTCACTGACTAGATGAGGATGGTTTCAATCGTGACTTTGCTGCCTCTCTGTGGCCTTGCTCACTTTTGTCTGCTGACTCCAAAAACCCCTTAGTAACCAGGACAAAATGCAGATTGTTCTCTGTATCGCTCAGGGTGAGCATAGCGATGCCTCCCGTGTTCAGGTGAGTTGGGTCCACTGACGTCAGGATGGCACTGAAAGTCTCTGAAACAACAGAAGAGAGCAAGACCGTATTGAGATGGTGTCGGTGGCAGGCTCAAATATCTGGAGGTGGTTAGAAAGGGGGATTATATAGACCAACATGACTAACGCTCCGCTTCCAGCATTTTAATTCCTACAGTAACAGCATTAAAGAAAACTGGGTAGAAGGAAGCCTCAGCTTCAGTGTTGCTGACCACATCAGACTACTGATGGAATGACTCCAGGGGATTTGACCGATATCTTAAATTGTAGATCTCAGCCATCAACACAACCTGATCCACTAAAGCCTATTTCAGCCACTCACCCACTTCTGGCAGCCAGCTTCTAGAACCTGATCAGAAATCAGCAACTAGACCTGACAGCATGGACTCTGATCCAGTTAAAAATCAGAGTCATTAACTTTCAGACACCACCTCCATTACATTCCAATGAAAGGTGAGAGAAGGAATACAGGGAGTCCTCAGTTTAAGAACGGGTTCCGTTCCCAAGGTCTGTCCTTAAGTCGAATTTGTATGTAAGCCGAAAGAGTATC